AATCCAGCACAGGGCTTGGCTTGGCTCCATACAGACGCTCTTCCCCCCACCCCCGGGCTCCCATCAACTCTGCCGGCACGGCGCACTCTGAGAGTGGCAGGCACAGCTGTGCTGTGGCCATGGGGCTGAGCTGCAGATGGTGGCACCCGGAGGTGCTGCACTGGCTCCAGCTCAGTGCTGTGGAGTGTAACGCTGACCCCCCTGCTCTGTCGTGCCCCCATCGCCCCGCATCCCACCCAGAAGTCACCACACACGGGAGCACACGATGGGGAGGGGTCACAGCATGGGACAGTTTGTAGCCCCAGCCCTGCAGGGCTCTCCCATCACAGTGCACCCATGGACTCATCACTGTTTTCCAGTTCTGGGCATGGAAAACCTCTCTCTGTTGTAATCCCCGTAGCACAGAGCTGCAGCAATTTCACCTCTCATCACAGCTGCCCACACCTCAGCGACGGCTCTGAGTCACCCAGCGGGCGGCTCCCAGCACAGCAGGGCCAGACTCAGTGCAGCATCCAACACTGTACCAACGCAGGGCTCATCCAGTGGGCCTGAGCTGCCTTGCAGACCCCCAGATCCCTCAACAATCCCCGTTTTTTTTTCCCTTTTACCAGCAAATAGGGGATGCACCCACCCAGCCCTGCACCCCACACTCAGGCCATCGTCCCAAGCTCCATCCCTGCTCAGCAGGGATGCTGCAGTCACACTGAGCTGATTGCTTACCACGCGTCCCCTCCGGCTGCTCTGAGTTGTCTGGAAGAACTGGGCTGCAGGGAGCTTTAAATGCTCTGGGTGGGCTGGGGGTGCTTCATTTCCAGCCTCCGGCCCCTGTAGGAGTGAGTGCAGCCAGAGAGGGCAGGCACCTGTGTGTGTTTGTAATGGGGGAGGCCACGCTGGAGCCATGCTAAGACCCCCGCGCCAGCGTGGGCTGGGGAGGAGGGGGGCATAGGGGGGTGGGGGCGAACCTTCAGGCCCATTTCCCAGGCCCCACATGAAAGCAGCAGAGGTCAAATTTCTGCACTCAACAGCTGGGGGGAAGGAGGGGGAGGAAGGGGCAACTAAATGGGATCAAAGCCGGAATCTGCCTCTTTGTGCCTTTGTTTGCTTCAAAGGGGGATTCAATGGGAGTAGTGCCCCAGGACCCCCCAGCACCACAAAGAGGGGGCAGCCCCCTCCCTGCTGCCTCACACAGCAATGCTTGGGTGCTGCTTTGGGTCAGGGTCCCCCACTGGAGGTGCTGTGGTCAGTTTGTCCCAAACGTGTCCCAGCCTCTCTGATAGTTGATACGCAGGGTTCCAACGTGACCTCGGGGTTCTGCCCAGCTGTCACCACAGGGCACTGAAAGCATCCTGGAGAGCAGATGTGCCCTGACAGAGCAGGGTGCTCAAGAAGCTCTGCTGAATAGGGTGGGGGTGACACGGCTGCTGTCCCACCTGGATGTGCAGTGAGCAGCCGGGTGCATTGCGGGGTGACCGCAGGGCTCCCATCCCATGCAGAACTGCCCCTGCATGGAACCCACATTGCCATCATCCCCAGGCACTGCTCCAGCAGCCCAGCACCCCCTGCCACACCTCAAGGACCCCCCAGTCCTGCAGCTCAGCGTGGAGGGAGACAGAAACAGAGAAGGCAAAGCATGAAAAAAACAGAGGCTTTATTTCAAAAAACCCCAATTCCACCCCACCCTCCCAGGAGCCACCCCAGCCCAGCACCGCAGTGATGGCAGTGCCACGGTCACCATCCATCCCACAGCCGGGACAGCACACAGCAGCGTGGTCACATCGCTTCACAGCGAGCAGAGCCACCGCTAAAACCACCCCGACGGCACCGAACGGCCGCAGCCTCCCGTCAGCACCGCCGTCATCTCTCCGTCCCGGCTCACTCCGCCTTGGCCTTGGCAGGAGCTGCGTGCCCGCGGACGTTGAGCAGCAGCAGCAGCCCGAGGCACAGCGTGGCGGGGGCACACATGGCCAGCGGCTCCCGCAGCGCCAGCAGCGTGTAGATGGCACCTGGGGAGGGCACGGGACGCTGACACGGGGCGAAGGGCGGCGGAGGGCATCCCCAAACCCCCCTCTTTACGCCACCCCCCCGCCGGCTCTCACGCACCGATCATGACGACGCTGAGCACGAAGTTGCTGATCTCCTGCAGCAGCTGCGGCCCGAAGGCGAGGAGCAGCCCGGCCGCCGCCTCTACCGCACCGACGGCCGTCAGGTAGGGGCCGGGAGAGGGGGAGAAGCCGAAGTCCCTGAGGGGGAACACCTCCGCGAATCGCACGAACTGCTCCTGCTGGAGGGCGCAGCGCAGGGCACGGCTCCGGCATCGCTGCCCACGCGGAGCTCCGTGCGGCGCGGCGCCCCCCGGGACCCCCTCACCATATGGCGGTGCGAGTCGGCCGAGAGCCGCTCCGAGAGCTTCACGGAGCCCGCGAGAAGGAAGAAGAGCCCCAGGAGAACGCGAAGAGCACGGAACGCCGCCGCCATGGCTGGGATGGGGCGGGGATGGGGCGGTGCGGAGCGGATCGGGACGGCCCTTCCGGCTGCTGCCGCCCTCCGGCCGCTGCAATCCCTGCCCCTATCTGTGCCCCTGTCTGCCCTTATCCCTGCTTCTATCCCTGCCCCTATCCGCGCTCCTATCTGCCCCTATCCCTGCCCCTATTCTTACCCCATCTGCCCCTATCCGTGCTCCTATCCGTGCCTCTACCCCTACCCCTACCCCTACCCCTACCCATGCCCCATCTGTGCCCCTATCTTCCCTTATCCGTGTCCCTATCCGTGCCCCATCTGTGCCCCTATCCCTGCCCGCAGCTCGGGATGCAGCAGTGCCGGTGCCGAGCCGCTGCTGGCATTTCAGTTTGCTCCCTGCCCTTCTGGAGCACCGACTGCCGGCAGCACGCTGCCCTGTCGGCCCGCAGGAAAGGGAAAAAAAGGAGCTGGCCCTCCCTGCATGCTGGGCTCGGCAGCTCCAGGCCCCGCACGTGCAGCAGTGCTTCATTAGTGCAGGAAGGATCCAGCGCTTCCGCAGGGCCGTACAGGAGCGAGCTGCAGGAGAGCAGCGCGGAGAGGAAGGAATTTTCCCTTTGCTTGCAGAGAACGCCTTCCTTCAACAGGGCTGAGGCGCAGGTCGGAGCTGGCTGCAGTTTTTGTGCAGAAGTGCAAAATCATTGCAGCATCTGTTTGCTTCCCTGTCGCGGAGCTGTAAGTCCGCGCTCCCCAGGCAGGCCGGGCCAGCAGTGCGGGCTGTGCTGGGAGCGGAGCAGCGCTGCCCCTCGGCTGCGCGTCATCACCGCAGTGACTCAGAGCTCAGCAATAAATAACAGCGCACCCCGTGCAGCCCTGACCTCACGGGAAACAGCTGCAGGCAAAACACGGTTCCCTCTTCCACCAAACCCTCCATCCATCCCCACCTGGGATCCCGCTATCTTTAGATTCACGAGCCCGAGCTCCTTCTATGAGTCATTCATCATTCGTCGGGTCTTAAATGAAACGTCCTCCCGCGTGGCACGAATTGTCCCCATTCAGCACAAGGCCAGGCAGCACCAGCTGCCCCAGGTGCGTTCATTTTGCAGCTCACATGCAGCAGGAAGAGCTCACGCTTCCCACCCACGCCATCACATCCTCCTGCCAGGAGCAGCCAGCAATCCCAGCCCCAACTGCTCCCAATGGACGCAGCCCCTCATCCAGGACAGAACCCCAACACCTCCCTCCAGGCACCCACTCTCAATCCCATGCTTATAGCACATGAGTTAATCAGACTAATGAAACAGCAGAACCAACCCCTCAGCTTTAGCAGCCAGGGAACAAGCAGCTGCTGGCACAGCATGTGCTGATGGAAACGCAGGGCGAGTCACAGCTCAGGTGACAGAAGGGCCTACACACCAACAGGGAGGAAAAAAATGAGGGCTTTCTGCAGTTCTCTAAAGCACATCCATCCATTTTCAATATAAAAACCATGGTTTGCTGATAAAAGGTGTGGGAGGTTGTGAATGCTGATGTCACGCTTTGGTGGGGGCAGAATCACTGCGCTGCAACGGGGGAAACAGAACTAGGGCAAGTTACTGGAAAATAGCAGGATTTGAGGGGGAAAAAGGCCATGTGAGAGGACAGCAGCCATGGAGATAACAGTGGAAGCTTGGTGCAGTTAATGCTCTTTGTAGAAGCAGCAGTGGGGATAAGTGACGTTTGAGTCATTGCAGAGCAGCTCGTAAGGGTGAGGGCCTCTCTGCCTCTCGTGCTGCCCTGCCAGCAGGGGGATGAGAGCACAGGGATGACAGCACAGCTGACCGAAGGGACATCCCACACCATATGGTGCTCTGCTCAGCAATAAACACCGAGGGGAAGCCTGGCGGTGCTGCCTGCACAGCAGATGCTGCACTTGATCCTTCCCAGCCCAAGGTCAGAGGTGCTCAGCCCCAGCACTGCAAGCACCACGAGGTGTCACTGCTGCAGGTAACACAGCTCCAGTTCTTTCCTCAAGCTTCCTCCTCCTCAGTTAAAATTAAAGTCTAAATTAAGAGGTGAGTAGTTTAACTTTCTGAATGTTACACAGTACTAATGAATCATAATTAGCAGAACCTAATCACCAAACTCATCTGCTAACAGCACATAATGCAGCACTGTCCCCACTGCACCTCCCAGCAGTCACTGCACTGCAACTTAAGAACCACAGAACCTCTGATGGAAATCTGACAGCTGTCAGTAATGCAGAGATGTCAAAAATATCAACAAATCCTTCACCTGATTGCATGTGAAACACAACAGCTCAAGGCTTTAACACAGCACCAACCTTCCCTAGTGGAATTATGCATGCACACAGAGTGGCTTTAATGCATCACACCTGTCCTATAAAACAATTTGAACCATGGGAACTTGTGCTTGTGCTCAAAGCACATTCTGCATTCCCCTTCTAAAAGCTCACGCTTGAGGCAGTTGAGCATAACGTGGTATGGTTCCATTTAACAGCCTACCTACTGAACATACTCCACAATAAAACAAGTCATCATCATTAAGAAAATTCAAATACTTTATTTTTAAAAACTCCTAGAACGTTCCTGGCTCCTCTTCACTGCATTTGGGCTTCATCTTCTTCTGCAAGTACAAAGCGTGCTGTTAGCCAGAACACAGAAAATGCCACCAGAAATCACAAGCAACAACACAGAAAGGGAATCAGTGTGTCACAAAGAAAGGTCATGCACCTGACGGATATTCTCTAGAATCTTAAGGTCTCTTGTTAGGCTTGAGATGAAATGAACAGCATCCACATTGTCCTCTACTTCAAACTTAAACATCTGAGGTGGCTTTGTGCTTTTCTACCCAAGAAACAAGAGCAGCAGTGACAAGTCACAATGGATTCAATCAGTTCACCGATTGAATCTCGTCACCTTCACGACTTACAGGGTGAGCTGCAGCACATCTAGGTCATTACTTACCCCTCACTCGTGTGTTACAGAACTTTGCATGTTGCTCTTCACTCAAGATTTTAAAATAATCTGCAGCTCCCCTTGTAGTTTAAGTAGCAAATTAGAGGGAAAATGTCATTAATTGCAGCTCTACAAGTTACTTTATTTCCCTAAACCTCTACCTGCTTGTTCTTGTACGTTAAGTTCAGTGTTCATTAACTATTTCAAAAACACAGCATATGTAGCAACTTTAGCATTTAATTATCTGCTTCATTGCTCTCCTTTTCCTTTGCTGACAATCACTGCATCCCATTCACAACCCTTCCATTTCAGCCTCAATCTTAGTCATGATTATTTCTTGGCTTGACCACCTGCAGTGTTCAGAAGACAGTTTTATTTGATGCTGCATGGCTGAAAAGCCTAAAACAACAGTTGTATCTTGGCTCTACAAAAGAAATAGTTTTTATATAAAAATGAGATTAATCACAGACAAGTTTCAGGCAGGAACTACCCAACACATCACAAGGTGATGTGCTGCTTTAACAGACCAGCAGCCTAAGGACATTGTCTACTTACTTGTTCCCTTGGTACCTTGGTCCACTCACATATCACGGGACATCAGGCTGGATGTGCTCATGCTCAGCTCCTGAACTAGAAAAATAATCACAAGTTTTATCAACAGTGGTTTTATGATCTGTCATACAAACCTACATCTAAGAAAGGTGTTTTTAACCACTGCTCCCAGGTCACAGTCTCACAGTCTGACAGCAGCATAGCAAGTCCCACGTTTCACACACTCACTGCTACCCACTGACTGAACACCAACTGCCTGTTTTATTACTTCACCCATTCAAAACAAGACAAGCTTATGCTTACTTCTCATGGATGAGCACGCCAGTTTCACTCAGCTCGCATCTTCACCTAAAGGATAACAAGTGAAGTTATTATAATAACATACAGAAACTTGTAACCATTTCAAAACTAACTTAAAAAGCAAAGATTTAAGATACATGGACTGATTAGTTATGAAGGGGAATTTACAAACTATTCCAAAATATTAAATGGAAGAATAAGGGGCAGAAATAGGCTAGCCTAAGCACTTGTGAAGAAGTGAAGGAATATGCATGTAGTTGACTGAAGAACTGCACCTTGTCAGAGCACAAACCGTAAATCACCAGTCTGAGTACAATGAAGTTTGATTGCAGCCAGAGGTATACTATCCCTTATGTGAAGGCATTAAGGATTCCAATCAAGCTACTACTTCTATTTGAGCCTAGTTTGTCTCCTGTACAATGCCCTCTTCCTTCTGCTTCATGAAGGAGTGCAGTGCCCCTTACTCCTAGCAGCCCCCAGTTCAATAGTCCTAGAAGTGCTTCAAAAGCCAAAGGAAGACACTAGAGATTAGCACTATAAGTCTACTGCTTTTTTTCTAAGCAACAGCTTCTTCCCTTCTGACAACCCCCCTTTTACTTACAGCTTAATTGAGGGCAAACTTCGATGGTTAGCAACTAGGGATGTAGCAGTACAACGTTCTGTGCACACCTCAAGGTGGGAGGCAAATCACAATGGTCACAATGGGATTTGACCAGGTAGGGAAAAGTTCAAGTTTAGTCTCAAACCCACCACCTGGGTTTTATCATGGCCCTCGGGAGCAGAAATATAGTATGCACGTTTTGTTTTCTATGCCATAGCAACAAACACCATGCATAAGGGATACTATATCTTTGTGCATCCTTTTAACACTCCAGATTCACTTATATAGCCACACTCCTCCCAGCCCTCCCAGTTAGCTCTTCAGTACTGGTGTTCAGAAGCAACATTTATAGAGATGGGGTATTCACAGACCACTGCGGGATTGCACAGCCAAGTCCTAACATGTCAATCATTATCTAGCAGCAATGACAGAAGTGGGAGAAGGCCAATCCTCCCTTTTTTCCTTTTCCAGTAAGTAGCTATTTAAGAGCCCCACTAGCTGGTATGGAGAGAAAAAAATCTGAAGCTAATTAGCCGATTCCAAACTTCCTAGCAGTGGGAGAAGCCAAGTAATTAGTCAGAGCAGCAATACTTTTTATGCATCCTTTCTAACATGCTTAGCCTTATTTAACATGATGGAACAGAACACTGGCCTTCCTGATCATGTCACTGCAGCTGGCAATGATTAACAGAGACATGCAACCCCATTACTGCTGAAGTCCTAAAACTACTCACAGGCCTCAGTGTTTAGCTATGGGGAAAACTGCAAGCAAATCAACACTTTGTATGCTTAATGTTACAGTAAAGCCCCCATACACGCTATGCTGTGCTCTCCTGACAGCACCAGAATCTGGTCTGAGGGCCTAACAGGTACGCATATGTATTCTGACACCACACTTCTGAGCTTCAGATAATCTTTTTGAGAAAAAGTGTATTTCACACCAAGATATAAAACCAAGATGAAACACAATGCAAGCACTTTAATGCCATTTGTTGGTACGCGCTTGTTACAGACTGGCTTTTCAGTTATCTACCACACCAAGTTTCACTACTGCAGGCAGTCAGAGCTGGTATGAGACCTATGGTTCAGTCACAGATTGCTTGCTCCAAGAGTGTCAAAACCCTACTAAGTTTAAGTATGTAGAATAGAGCAGATGTGCCAATAACCCCTCCACGACATTTCTGCAGGTAAAGTCAAGTGTCCAGAGCACACTGGAAATACTACTGAGATCTGAGCATCGGTTTAAAGATTAATAGTTCAGTTTTACTACATGACAGTATGCACACTGTCAGCAGTTTTGCTGCTGAATTCCAGTCACAGGTTTAGAGTAAGCCATCACCGAAAAAAAAAAATCAAGCTGACTTTGTGACAAACTGTGTCCCTGTTTGGTTAGATAGATTTGAGCTACACTCACTGTGCTCTAAACAAAGGCCTATCGTTGCATTCTTGAGATTTAAGGTGCACTGGCTGCTTTCAGAGGAACACTGTAAGCTAACTACAGCAGGGCAAGGCTGTCCAGCAGATCGCATGTTGAACAGCAAGAGCATTTTCTTGAACATAACACAGATTGGTGCAAAATACCAGAAACGAGTATGCAAAGCAGAACTTTGCAGATCAAATGGGAAAACACATCACAGCATCTCCGAAAAAGCTGATCAGACGAGCCAGGTCGTGTGCTGAAACAAGGGACCTTGAAATTCAGGTTCAAGAACTAATGCAAAAGAGCTGGAGATCAGCATGTCTGGATGTCTGGAAACATAAACATGTTAATCCTGAAACACTACATTCAGCATTCCTATTAATGAAGAGTTTAGAATCACATCCTCAAGACAGATGAAAAATGAAGTTGAGCGTTACGCTACCAAGATGACTAAGAGGCAGAAATATAGAATCTCACCACTGTCGAAGGCAGAGAAATGTGCTTTGTTTGCCTATCAAGGATTAATTAAAGACAACTGAGATGTCCAATAAGCTCTACTGAACTTTTTACAGGGATATTCATTCAAGCAGTCACATGTATGTCCTGAGAAGTATTCCCAATCCATCCTAAAGCTGACCACGATACTGAGCTTTGGCTACCAGTTTACACAGGGCTACAGCAGTGATTACTAACACATTCCCTACCGAGCCAAGACTCTACATCAAGGGATGCATTGCAAATGGGCCACTCTGTCACTACGGAAAGTCTGAACGATCCTTTTCTATGCACTGAGAGCACTGGGTTGACTTGTTAACTGAGTGTAAGATCACGCTCCCTCTTCCCCACAGAGCTCCTCCAAGAACGTCTTCGTTACACCATAAGTGAGAAAAATGCACACAAGCCGAGTCACATGTACAAAGGAATCGGGTCTGAAAGCACTTAGCTAAGAATCACAGTAAGTTGTTGCTTATTGGCTTTGAACAAGGCAAAAAGCTTAAAACCGAAAACCACGCAGCTTTGATGCAAGTTTAACATACAGGTATGAAGAGTGCTGCACTGTAATTCCACAGTCAGAAGTGTGATGTCAGAATACCCACAGTATAAGATTACATAGAAAGTCACCAAGTTATATTATATTGCTTGTTACCTACCTGTATGCAGTCGGCAATGAGAATCTTGGAGCAAGCAGGAATACTACATCCGGGTCCTAATGTCCATTGCCATTTGTGGTACTACGTTCCTCACAGTTATGAACTGCAGAAATGCTGGCTAAGTGCAGTTATGTAGCAGGCCACTAGTTTTAAGTGTAAATTGCAGTCTCAGAAACTCCAGCAAAAGCTTGCTGCCACAATAAATGGTTGCCAAGGAGAAGCCAAGAATTTTTCTACCACAAAAATACCACAAAATCTCAAAAGCAGTTTCAGGTTCTCGTCAGCTGTATACATGATTAGTGTAACGTGTCTACACCAGAAGATGGGATTATTCTCTATTCGTTTGAGAAAGTGTGAAGATATGAAGATACCAGTTTCTACATGCTGCAGTTTTTAGGTAACAAGTGTCAAAAAGGGCTCAAATTTTGTTAAAACAAAGCTAAATTGCAACAGCCAATGTCCTCCAAGTCCAGTACAAAATTAGGTTATGCAAGGCAGACCCATCCAGGAACAGGTCTGACCAACCAAGCACTTTTCTTAGTTGTTTTGATGATTCAGTTATATCAATCTGATTTGCTGAAAAAAGTCCAAAACCTCATCGGAACAGATCAAAGGAACATGACCTTCTCACCTCCCACATTTAATAACTTTATCACATTTTAACATTGACATGTTCGCCAGCTTTTAAGACACTATCTTTAAAAGGTCTTGAAATGAAGTTGGCTATTTAATTGTAATGCCTGTTGAATACGTGCAACTCAAAGCAGAACTCATTTTAGAAATTCTGCTTATGTAGCTACAACCAAGCCAGATTTAGCCAAGCTTTCAGGTATTTTGAAAACTGCCAAATCCTCTCTATATATTTACTATAGTCATTGTTTTTGCAACTCATCTATGCTAGCAACAGTAGCTTATGTACAAAACAGGGTACCAAAAGACAACCTCTGTAAGGTACAAGGACATCAGCATCCTTCACTCTTCAGTTACAGAGCTACAAGAGAACATACTTTAGGATATGCACCAGCATCTCTTTAATAAAGAATGACATGTCATCTGAAAAATAAACTGAAAAAATTAATTTAATGTTTACGTTCAGAATTCCCCATCTCAGACACCTTCCGTTTTTGTGGGTGTCCCACGAACACCCTGCAGAAAACACAGGCATTATTTAGTACTACTTAAAGCAAATTGCAGTGGGACTGCTGTTTTTAAGCTCAATAACCAACACAAGTACTCCCAAATACCTGGTCTGCAGTGCAGGAACTGCCAATTCAGAGTTTCCTGAGTTACAATTCATTGTCTTAGCACGTTATCAATCTCCAAACTTTTCTGGGAAGATAAAAAGCATTCACCAAACCAGCTGAGTCACTATTTCGTGCACTGAATGTTCCAGTCAGTGTTACCTGTGATCAGTATTTCACAACATGCTACTTTTTTCATTTAAGGAGCATCAGCACTTACAGTGAATACTTCACGAGCGATCATCTGCACTCTAAGATACTGCAAATCTGACACTGAAGTTTTAACCACAGAGAATTTAGCACAGAATTTAGAATTAGCCAATGCTTAGCACAAGGAGTGGAAAGATCACTGTTAAGATTGAAACTACTTACAGAACGCTCAGTAGTTGGGGAATTGCATGAAGGTACAGCCAGCTAAGTCTACCTACTTTGTGCTAAGCAGGTTAATATATCCTGCATTAGCACCAAGGCATTTTATGCTGGGAAGTCATGTTCCCAGCTTATCTGGTACAATGTAGTAATAAGCAAAGCAACTACCTTGAGTCCAAAATGCTTTGAAATTCTCCTGAGGGGAGTTAATGAAATTAACAGCAAGCTAACGAATTCATCAGATCTACAAAACAGCCTTGAAGGGAATTTATTTGTACGGTGCAGCATTAACTCCAGATTTAGATACTGCTTTTGATGCATTACCTCTACACATCAATAATAACAATAGCCATCGTGCAAAAATGCTCATTTCTCTGTATTTTACATACAGGCTTTTATGATTTATCCAGCAGCTACAAGATTCAGGACTAGTTCCTGCAGCCCCCATAATACAATTGAATTCTGAGCTATGCAAATTAGTCCACTCAATTAGCACGAGGACATAAGCAAGTTACAAGTATGAATTAGCAGGTTCTCTCCTAATCACTTGAGCAGCACTTCTGTGGTTTTTTTTTTTTGCCAAGCAGTTTCAGGCAGGTATACAATACGGAGCAAGGCCAGATCCTGTAATCTCAAACAGCTTAAGAGCATATAAATATCTCATTAATAACCCGTAAGTTAGGGAGTCAGTCAATACAAGTCTTTCTATGGATTTATTTTAAAATAACCATTGCTAGTCTTCTGCTTAAAGTCTTTAGAAAGTATCAAGCAGTAACTGCCAAGGTGGTTAAGTGCAACCATCCCACCACCCATCATCCATAGCTAAGATAAGAAATGCTTTACATACTGCATTACTTGCAGCGTAGCTTTCATTACCGTTATCTGACAGCATCTGCAAGATTTTTATTTGCTTTCTTATTGCAGCACAACGTTCAAAAATCTGCACCTACTGGGCAGTTAAGCTATTTGTCCCAGTCTTAAGCTAGAGGCTTTATGGGAAGAGATCTCAGCTCTTCATTACAGTTCCACACCCTGGGTCTAGTTGGATCTCTATGGCAAGAGTCTCAGTTTACTGCTGAAGGTGTGGTACTTATATTTAGCCTCTTAATTTAACCATGAATGGCAAGAAAAGTTACTACATTTAGTTTTCTATTTATTTGAAGCACAGTAAAAAAAAGTTGGTACACTTTGGGAATTCAGTGGCACAATGTACACTGCCATCAAGTTAGGGATGTTATACATCAAAAAAACAGCTAAACTTGTTTTGAAACACTGCATTACATAATTAAGTTGTACTTGCCCAAACAGACCACTTACAAATATTAGGTCAGTAAGTTTCTAACATCCATAAAAACGTAGCTTTCTTACTAAAATGCAAGAATTAAAAAGTTGGTGTCTAAACAAGACAGACAAAACAAACTGGAATGAAACTACAGGTCACATCTAAAATCGGGGCTTTTTGTTTGGGCCTTCGTATTCTTCTCTCCCTCTACCATATCCTGTTGGTGTTCCAGGCCCCATTCCTCTAGGACCCTGGCCACCCACAGGCCCCGCACCTCCCTGCCCAAAGCGTTCAGGACGCTATTGGAACAGAATTAACAGTTCATTATATGTAGTTGATGTCCATGTGTGTTAAGTATATATTTTTAGAAGGTTCCGTAGTCAAGGTTCGTCGATACAATCACCATTGAGCCGATCCACAGGTACCGGGAACATAGAAAGGAAAAAAGGGTAATTTAAAAATTAGTTTATTGTAATACATGCCTTGAGGTATGTTCCCACTTGATGCATTCTCATACATCTGTTACAAAGAACAGATCCTCCCTGCAGTGCTAGAAATGTAAGCATTAGTGCAGATGTGAATTAACAACTTTTCACAATGAGCTCTAGCAATTTTCAACCAAGTTAATGCAAACAGCTTGCAAACTTCTCACCTTTAGTGCGATAAAAGCTTAGATTACATCACTGTCATTTCCAAACAAGCCTAGCCAGAGAGAGCTTCTTCAGTTCACTGAAGTACGAGCTGACATTCATGAAATGTCACTGTAAACAGAATGCCTACTCACCAGTTAATGGCATGTGCTGCAATAGAGATGTGCTTTTCAAGATGGGGTTAAGACTACAGTCTGCTGACTAAACTGTAGAGGCCTTAGGCAGTAATCAAAACTGATAGTGAGCACTACTGGATTACAAGAAGAAAAAAAATGTGAAAAAGCTCATGACCAGTGATTTACCTAACCAACGCAACTGCTCCATCAAAAGACTTGCTTTTATTCAATCCCACATACTCCGAAACTGCTGCTGTATATGCAATGTGTGTTCAGAGAACCACAACTTACTCCGTTTCAGGTTAGAACTATGCACAAAGGGTTGTGTGCATCCAGTCAATATATCCCTTCCCACCCCACCTTCATCACAAGCTCCTGGAAAAATTCACAACTTCAGTGTTGAAAGGCTTCACACCAAGATGTAAAAGCTAAATTACCCTGCAATAAAGCAGAGACTTCAGATATTTTTGCTAGTACCTCTCATTGCATGTACTTCGTTCAGTTACTGTAACAGTACTTGTGATCAGCATTCAATGTACAGAACTGCCAAATTTTAACAAAAAGCTCTCAACTTTCATCTCAAGCACGTTTTCTGCTACCAAGTAACAGAACAATGGTGGGCTGTTCATTACAAAAGGTACCTGCAACTGAAAACTCAGACCCCACTTCTGAAAGTCAGTTTCAATCCTCCCAAGTAAAGTATGCCAAATGCTAACAATTTTTTTTTCCTGCCTATTTCATGGCAGCTTAAGTCTACCTCCTCTTCCTCATAAAGATGTCAACCCAATAACTGTGACAGCACTGTGTGACAGAGACCCCCCATTCTAAGAAACTCAAGGCCATCTTACTGTCACACGTTTTCAAGTATTACACTCGTTCAGCATGCACCTGTACCATGAATTTCAAGAGGAGAAAAATATTCACAGCATTTACCACAGACTGCCTAACTATTTGCTGGAAGCTTAAGAACTGCCTAAGCATATCAGTAGACTATAGGTACATTAAGGCCACCAGCACTGTCTACTGAATCGTTGCGGCTCTGCAGAGTTATGGTTTCTAAGACACAGTTCCCATAAAAACAGAAGATATTTGATAAGCTATTATGGTAGCTCACAGAGTTAAGCCAGAGGCCTAAACCCACCCAAAAATCATTTAGTTCAGCTTGTGCAACACAGTACACCCTTTACGAGGAGGGTGAAAGCACGCTAGTATCACCACCTAAACCAACAGCTTTCCATTATACCCAGTAAACATTTCTTTAACCTGGATCAGCATTGCTTCAGTGTGATAACACCAAGCAGGCTCAAAGCCCATTCACACATATAGTGTGCCAAAAATAGTACAGCTTGGAAACATACCTCGGAGCACGAGATATGCAGCAGCTTTAATAAACTCTACCTACAGTCATCCCCAACAAAGAGAAAGCAACAAGAACAGGCTATCATTTCATTCCCTTGTGGATCAGGAACCACAAAATGGCTACAGTCAGACCACTGGAACATGCCTAAGACTTGAAAAAACCAAAAAAAAACCCAGCATTTCTACTTTTCTATAGCAAACATCAGCATATAGAGTAAGTGATATGCTGTTCCCATTATTTAAGGTAATCTGCTACTTAAAGAGACGTTTGCAGATTTCTGAATTAACAGCATATCTCTAACAGCATGCATCAATTCTACCAAGGCTTGGAAGGGCCAAAATAAATGCATTGTTCAACTGTGGAAAGGAGAGCAATGATCTCACTTGCCCATACAGAATGTCACGTTACTCAACAGCTGCTATTGTTATTTTAATTCTGAAAATTGTCATATTCTCTAGAATTTATAAAAATCCTTCCAAGCCTAACTGTGATGCAGAATTTCTCAAGTCCAATAAGGTCAGAGTTAATTGCAAATATGCTTAACAGCACATTTGAATTCAGTTACAAACAACTTCCAACTGCGTAAACTACCGTAATGGTTAACTAAACTAGTACTACATAATGCCAAACTACTCTTCCATGTTAAACACCTGACAAGAAAGTCAGCAGTTAACAGTGAAATTTACACAACCGAACACAGAACTTCATTTCCAACTGCAACTTTTCTCTTGTGCTAAACTAAAGCCATCACAGGATACGTTACCATGTCACTTCCCATCATAGAACCACTCATGGCTGCTTGGCCAACTCCTGGATTAGCTTCATAACCTATGCCGCCTCCACCTCCAAGAGGTGGAAATTTCTGGGCTGCAGAAGCATAAGGATCTAAGAAAGAGAAATATATAATCATATTCTGACAATTTCTAAGGTAGCCACATAAAGTAATCATTTAAAAATGCTTTACCTCCCATGTTCATTGTGGTGGCACCACCCATTCTCATGTCTCTCTCCCTCTGCATAGAAGAAACAACTTTTAGCACAGAAGCTATTACTGAGACCCTGCCTCTCAGGAGACAAAGCGTACGCACAGCCAACCACTACCATCTCAATTACACAAGGACACCACCTCTAACCTAAAGGAAGCAAAACACGACCTCAACAACATGCAAGAATTCTGGAAATCTCTGAACATGGTCACCAATCCAGAAAACAGAGTGGTTTCACTTACGGGATCCATATAACCCATTCTACTATAATTCTCTTCCCTCTGCCTTCTCATCTGTTCTTCCATCTCTCGCTGACGGATCATCATTTCCTCCTCCCGTCTGCGACGCTCCTCCTCCTGCCTGATAAACCCAAGGCAGATTATTAAACCACGGCAGTAACACACACCAGACATCAGCCCCATGCATGAGCAATTTCAGTTAATGATTACGCTTCAGAAAAAACACAATCAAGAAAAAAATTAAACTGCTGTTCAATTTCTCATCCACAAACTGAAGCAGCAATAGTTTCTTGAAGAAAATTTTCATAAATCAATCATTAAAAAACGTACAACTGTGCAATTGAAAAATCCTGTAAAAGCCAGACCAACCTGAGCTGAATTTCCTTGCGTTTCTGCATTTCTTGATTATGGAGTTCTTCCATACGTCTCAGTTCCTCCTGACGCCTCATAAGGTCTGCAGAAACCAAGTCTGTCAGCAGGAGCTCCACACACTCAGATTTAAATTCAGATTTGAATTAGATTAACATCAATTACACTATCGCAGACACCACACATCACTGGTCTTAATCATACTTTTAGATAAGACTGAGGAAGCGTGCTTATTCAAGCCATTAACAAGTTGTGCATTGAAGCCATCATTCAGAGCAAAAACAAGCATTTGGAGACAAAGAATTCGGAGCCCATTACCTTGACGCAAGAGGTTTGCCTGATGCTCATGATAAGCATCTTCCATCTCACTCTCAAGTTTGTCCTTGGCATCTTTCATGTTTTTTGCCACTTGTTCTCTCTGTTGTTTTTCCATTTCATCTAAAGATTTCCATCTCTGGGAATACTCAAACTCAAAACTGCCAGGCTGTGCAAAACGGGGAGGAGTTTCTCTTTCCCTGCAGAAAGGAAGATGCTCAGCCAGGCTGCACAAGCCTCAAAAATGAAGGTCAACCAAAAAATCACTGGCACAACAAGCCAAGTACAAGGAAACAAAGGAAACCAGGAAGTACCACCTCAACAACCTGATTAAAGATTGCTTGGACAGAATGAAAACCGTACAGCATTTTAAGGATTTAAACAGCAGCATTTAAGTTAATTCAAGAACTACACCAAAGGCAAACACAGAGTCTCCTGTACCAACACCTCCAAGCAAGTCTTTCTGCTTCCTGTTCTACTGCATGTTTACCCTGCAGCTTCCTCATTAGAACCCTCCTCTGCAGGCAAATGCCAATGCAAAATCCAAAACTGAGACAAGCCCTTTGCCCATATACAGACAGCTGCTGAAAAAGCCCCTGAGCACAGAGCAAGTTTCCAGAGCTGTCTTACCAGAGTACTGCGTTAAAGCAGAATAATATTTACTTTAAGGTAGTCTTCAAAATATCTGAGAGCTGACAGCTTATACTGACAAAGCAGCTGAAGTCACAGATACAGTAATTAATGGAAAAAATAGAAAAGTTGAAGAACTTTTCATATATTGCCAATTCTAAGTACTTTTAAGATCTCAGGAAAAACACTACACCAGTCTGCACTCTTTACAGGAACATGGTTACTAAGATGCTTGAAGTCTTTGACCAACACAAGTAATTTCAAACACTTTCTCATGTAACAGCCACAAGGCCTTCTCCATCCGCTCCCTTCTGCAGCCTGAAAAGCACAGTTCTACAACAAATAGGCTTACATGTGCAGGTCCTAACCTAAAACTCATCTACCAATCATCTCTCACGCACAGCTGTCTCTGGTAAGGCAAGTCCATACATTCAGTAACCATGTAGCAACCTGAGATTTTACTTTGTTTCTCAAAGTAATAATTCTAACACATTTATTTCCCAATGGGAACACCAACACCAAGTCTCACCATGAGAATTCTCAACAACAGCACAAGCTGTAACAGCTGACACCTGATTTCTGAGCTACATTTCTACAGTTAGCCCCAAAATCTGTTATCAGGCTGATATTTATGCACCACATGTGATATTCAAAGCCAGGTTCTGAAAAACCACCCTAACTCTTACACAGTCAATGACCATACTGTGTTATCTGCATAGTTATTATAGCAAAAAGTGTGCCTACTTTTGGTACATCGGGTTCTTCTGAGCAAGCTTTTCTGGAAGACCATCTTCATCATCCAGTTGCTCCAACGGTTCCACAATAACTGGCCTAGGGGTGCTAAATACAAAATACACACACGCTTTACATATCGATCCCTTTTCTGATGTAACAGAAGGAACTGACAGTTTTACTCCACTTAGAACTAAAAATCCTGAGTAGCAAAATACTTACGTCGTCAACAAGAACACTCCCTCAGTACACCGTTCAAACGCTTTTCTGGCAGCTGGCTTTGATGCAAATTCAACAATGCCTTTTCCCGTTGATCTACCTCGATCATCTACAATCACAACAGCTCTCTCCACCGGACCGAACTGGGAGAAAGCTTCCTCCAGTAACTCGTTGGACACGTAAGGAGAAAGGTTACGCACTGACAGCGCGGCGGCGTGCGTGGCAAAGCGAACACGGAGCTGCCGGCCCCGCATGGGGGTGTCGTCCAGTTCTGCCTTGGCGATTTCTGCCAGAGCTCTAGATTCCTGGGGGAAGTTTAAAACCCAGTTTTAGGAAATCGGGTTATAAACCACTACCTGCGAGATTTTTTTATTTTTTTTTTTAGGAGACGAGCAGACGGTACGAATGCCTACCAACTTAATGAAGCCAAAGCCTTTTCCTTTGTTGATAAAAACCTCTCCCGGCTCCCCGTATTTGGCAAACAATCTTTTAAAGTCTTCATCCGTTATATCGGCGGGCAAATTCCCAACAAACAAACGGCACCGCTGAGTGTAAGTCTTCTCCCCGGGCCTCCTCAGCAGTGAGAGGTTTGCCTTAAAGCCCTACGAAGAAGCAGAGCAGATGGAGCCGGCGCCGCAAAGCCGCGGTCGGATCCGAGCCCCGCCGCCGCCGCTCCCCGCCGAGCCGGCCGCCCCCCCCGCGCAGCCCGGACCCCCGCCCCGCGCTCCTCCCCTCAAGATGGCGGCAGGAGCGCGCGGAGCTCCGTGCCCGGCCGCAGCCGCCGCCATCTTGTGGCTGGGAAAGGGGGAGGGGGCCGTGACTCACCTCGTCCGAAAGCTTGTCGCCGCCGGCCGGGCCCTGCTGCGAGGAGAGGCTCTGCTGTCCCTGGTGCTGCTGCCCGCGGCCCCGCGGCTCCCCGCCCGGCCCTCCGCGGTGGCCCGGCCCGCCCTTGTGAGGCCCGCCCGGCCCCTGCTGCGGCCCGCCCGGCCCCTTGGGCCCGCCGCCGGGCGACTGTCCTTGTCCTTTCTTAGGGCCGCCGGCCGGGGTGGGGCTGGGGCTCGGCTTGGGCTGCGGCTGCTGCTGCCCCCCGGGGCCGGAGGGCGCGGAGGAGGGCGCGGAGCCCTGGGCCTGCTGCTGCGGCGGCTGCCCCGCGGGCAGGGCGGACGGAGGAGGCGCCCCGGGGCCGGACTGGCTGCCGGCGGGGCCCGCCGTGGTGGCGGAGGACGAAGAGGACGAGGACGGCGGAGTGGAGGTCGACGCCGGAGGCTTCGGCGGTTCGGACTTCGGGCCTCCGCCCGGCGGGCCGCCGGGGCCCTGCGGGCCGCCCCCCATGGGCCCGCGGTTCTGGCCCATGCCCATGCCGGGCGGCGGAGAGCGGAAATCGTGGTTGGGGCCGCCGCGGCCGCCGCCGCCGCCGCGCCGATGGAAGCCCCCTCCGCCGCCTCCACGGCTACGGAACCGATCCCGCGACATGGTGTGGTGGGGAAGGCGGAGAAAGAGAGGCGCGCCGGCTGCCGCTGCTGCTCCTCAGAGCCCGCTGCTCAAAATGGCGGCGAGCTAAAGGGCCTCGCCGCCGCCTTTGTCCGTCCCTAATATACCTTCCCCGCCCCCGGAAACCGCCCCCTCCTCCCCACTAACCAACCCCCTGCCGCGGCGGCGAAGACCGATAGGTGGAGCTACCAATGGCGCGTCCCTGCTCCGTAAACTCTTTGATCCTATTGGTAACGAGCCTGCCCTCTGCCGATTGGCTCATTTGACCGCCGACATCGGGACAGGATGATCCGTTAACCTCCTGCGTGCTGATTGGACAGTTTGACCGGCGGGAGGTCAGTTACGACGGAAGTTCAGCTTTCGATTGGCTGCCAGGGAAGTCAGTCGGGCGCGAACCCGCCCTCCCCGCAGAGCAGCTGCTGGCGCCCTGCAAGCAGGGTGCGCGGCGCTTCGCTTCGGTTCGGTTGGGTTCGGTCGCACCAACAGGGCGGTTCCGTTGGGCCTCCCCGGCGCGGTGTCTCTTATGCTCTAAAAACGGATTTGAGAAAAAGATTCCCTGTGTTCGTTCCAGCACGGCGGTGTAACACAACGCCAACGTGGGAGGTCTGGGCTGGCAGCGCTTCCACCCGAGCTGCTGTGAGGAAGGGAAGGGGAGCAAAGATTTCCTTCCAACTGAGAAAAATCATCTTGTAAACGAGGGGCACAGCTCTCCACTGTCCCTTCTGCTGATAAGAAAGCAGATGTCAGTTCTCCAAAGCATAACTTCAGGTAGATAAACAAAGAAGCTGTAAAAGTCAGCGTTCCGGTTGGAATGTCCCATGTTCTGAGACAGAGAGCAGCCCAAAGTGGCTCCCATCCGTTCAGTGGGGCTGGCTGCAGTGGTGGTGCGCTGGCTTTGCATTTAGCATGCTAACATTAGAACAAAGTGGTATTTTTAATGAGGGCTTTAACCCATCAAGGCTCACGTTGACATTACATGTTCGGTTTCAGGTCAAGTGAAACAAACTGTAAGTGCAGGCCAAAGGAAAGCCATGTGTTCTCTTTATTTAGGCAGAAACCGTGACTTGTTAAATTGCAGTGATAAAATATCATCAACCTCATAAATATTTGTGAGGTACCGCACAAAGGCAGACTTCACTGCCTAACAAAATGGATTTCCCTTTGGCTTTAAAAGTTTGAAACAAAAAGTTCGCCAGAGACCCACCTTTTCCCCACGTTAGCATCCCCCCAGGCTGTACGACTTCAGCCACTTCCATCTGCAGCAGAGCGAAGGCCCCAGGTTCTGTTCTAAAATGGATTCTTCCCAAGATGCCAGCCCTGCAGCGAGCAGTGAGCGCTTCCACCACGAGGTGTCTCAGAGGTTAAAGCGCTGGAGGAAGAAATTTGGACTGGCTCTTACAAACAACTGGCGTGGCCTCCTTACAGTACTTGATTATTTCTGAAAGCTTCAAAAATTATTGAGTGTTAAAGAGTTGTTTTCAGCTGTGTTGCATCCTAAGTACAAGTGAACTATATTTTAGGGAGCTATTAATCTACCATCTTTTGAAAGAAAAAAGGGTATAACTGTGGTCCCAGACCCGAACAAATCTGGACAACTTATTTGAAATATACAAAATAGCTTTGAACTTCTGTGTGTCCGGTAAAGTCCAAGATATGAGTATATGTTTTTGTAACGCTGTAACTGCAATAGGAGTATTTATCCTGGGCTTGAAAGACACATGGATGTAGCTATGAGGACTTGAAATAAAAATGACCTCTGCTAGCAATCCCCTGATTTTGTAAATATTCACACTGGGAAGCTTGCTGTTCTAATACAAAAACAAACACTGAGGAGGAAAGCTTGATACCTCCCCCACCCTAAATAAACATTGCATCTGAGACTGGAAACCCAGGACAACCAAAGCAGTCCACAGCTGAAGACAGAAAAACACCTGCAGCAGGCTTTGGAAGACATTTGCAGAAGGCAGGCAGACACTGAGGTCTGAAGTCATTAATGCCTAGTAGCCAACAGGGGTAATCTTCAGATAAGAAAGGCTGTCTGCACAAATTCAAGGAGTGTCACAGAACTAAAGATGCTCAGCAATTAAAAAAAATAATCAGGAAACAAAAGGCAGGAGTAGACAGAGTGCTTGCAGCAGTGAAGCATTCCAAAAGTGCAGGCTGGTGGTCTTACCCTGCTGCAGGCTCTGTGGTGCTTTCTGATCAACCTGTCTGGAACAGCAGGGATTTCTGCAGAATTTCGTTATTCCAGCATTCAACAGTTTCATGAATAGCAGCGTCACCTTTAAAGAATAAAAGAGGAAGTAAAATGCCTACAGCAACATCTGGTACATAAAGCTGAGAAACGATGAAAGCAGTGGCAAATAGCTGCAACAGCTCCTCAGCTGCACAGCACAACTCTCAGCAGCCTTCCTGTGGCACCTGATGATGAGAGTTCTCCTCTCCCTCCCTCCTCTACTGTTTTCTCTCCCTGCTTCAGTACTGATTATATCTCCTTTCCAAGAGGTTTTTCCTGTACGCTATGACAAATATGCCTGTAGGCCATTTTTAAAGCCAGATGACTGTAAGTAACGTAGGTCTACAGGAGAGATTACAGTGATAGTAAAGCAAGTGCAGAGAATGACTGCAGGGAAGGAGGAGTTGATTGTCTTTGCATAGTAACACCGTGATTTCTTTGGATATAATCTTGATTTATCATCAAATGAATGAAAGCTGAATCAGGTTCAAGAGTCTACAGAAAAAGTAATACAGTATCTGCAGGGAAATCTTCTGTCTGAAACAAAAATAAACATAAGTTCACAATTCTGTTGGAGACTGTTCACTCCACCTGAAAAGATCAGGATTTTCCCTTTTAAATTTGCTGAATTAATTTAAATTCCAGAAATACCTTAAGTAGCAAAAGTTCTGAGACCTCTATCAAAATCTGAACTAGTATCGGACACGTAAATTTGGTCTTCTGTGAAACAGTCAGAGCACCATGAGAAAATGTAATAGGAAACTTCCCTTCCTTTCCCTTCCTTCTCACCTCTTACCTTACTCTTCTCTCCACCTTTCCTCCCACGATGGACAACACAGCTGCTGTGGGAGGTCATAGGAGTATCTCTAGTCTGTTTACCATTGCTTCGCACTGCTCATCAGATCACTCTTCAACACCACTGTGCATCCCAGTGTTTGTGAGGGAGAGTCCACTTGGTGAGACTGGATGGGTGAGAAAAGCACTTGGCCTGAAAAAGAATCCATGGAATCATTAAGCCCAGGAAGGAAACATTCTACACTGCTGTTATAACTGAAGAAGCATACACCTACTTATCATTCATACCATGCAGTTCCCAGTGATACAGCCTGTGATCCCCTCATTACTTTCAACAATTTTAACTGAATACCATCACTTAAAAATAGAGAGCTCCAAAACAGGGGAAGTTCTATGGTTTGCCCAAATTCACAGCAAGATGGGAAGAGTGTCTCAAGGCTCTCCCACCCCTTGGCTGCCTGTTTTCTCCTTACTCAGCAGTAGCTGTGTTCTGCCAGTGGATGGAGTGATGCTCGTACATACTGTGTTACGTCTGCTGAAGGCACAGAGGAATGTGCCACATAAGTCTTTCAAGAGGCTCCAAGAGCCCTCAATTTCCAATGAAGTCAATTGGAGTTAAGGATGCTTACTGGCTTGCAGGAAGCAATCAGCAGAGCTATATGACAAAGCAATCAATCTATACATTTGTTTGAGCTGTGGAGAGACAAAAGATATGCATAACTAAAATTTATCCTGTCTCCATACAGCTAACAGCTTTCACTTCTTCTGTTACGATAATTTAAGGCAATAAATATGTGACTAGAATGGAAGGTAGCCGTTAAAGATAATCCCATTCTTCATTCCCATGGAAAAGACACGGGCTCAACAAAAAATACACACAATAGCTCTGCTAAAATTCCAGCAGTTCTAAGTTGCAGTTGTGCCTAATGCTTGCCACAGTACCAGCGAGGCAGAAAAATGGGAAATCCACATGGTATTCCATCCGACTGCCATTGCCTTCTGAAAATCATAAAGACCAAAAGAGAGAAGATTGGAAACAAACAGAAAGTGGGCACTCCATCGATTATTCATGTCAATTTTCAGGAACTCTCAGAAGACAAAGATAAAATTAATATTGTTATAACCCCAGAACAGTAGAGTAGACTTTACAGAGAACTGATTATCCAACAACCTGATGCCTACCCCAGGCAAAATTTCTGACCTTGAGCACACCGAGATTTTGCAAAAGTCCAACACTTCACTACTGAAAAAAATATTAGCTTTGGCATCTTATTAAGACAAATAATACCCTTTCAATCTGACCATAGCACAGTGCCTACCAGAGCCTGCCAGCAGCCTGAAACAACGTCTCATTGAGTTCTTTCTAATCTCACCCTTTATTGCTCTGCATGCTCAGAGATGACAGGTCAGCTGCCGACACTAACTCTCCCTGATCTCTCTGATCAAAGCAGCACAGGGCTATGCTACAGGAAGAAAGTTGATATGGGGTGGGAGTTTTGGCTGTTAGAAGGGAGTGAAGAGCAGATGAAAAAACAAAACTAAAGACACGCAAAGAAAAAAAATGGTATTTCCTCTCTTGTGCCTTGACGCAAGACTGTGTTAGGAATGTGGTGTAAACTCCAGCTTCTATGAACTGGATTGTCATTGTAAAACCTTACCAATAAGGCTATTGTGGGAGCATAAGCAAGGTCTGAATGTAGTTGGAAAGCAGTTAATGACCATGTAAGAATACTTACTGCAACAAACAGGATTTTTTTGCTTGCTCTCTAATAACTTCCTGTGATCTGCTATGGACTAAGTGCACCAGTGCCTAGGAGGATGTAAGGACCCCAGTCCCCTCTAAGTTTTGTACTTCTGCCATGGACTTTTTCACAACAAATCACCCAGTACAAAAAAATAAGCTTCAAGATGCACTGCAAGAAATAGTGACTTTTGGCTGGCATACTCTACAGAGTAAAAAAGATTGAGTCACTGGCACAGCGCAGCATCAGCTGTTTATAATACATAAATAGCTGTAAAAGTCTAGATACCAGATTTGCACATGCTGGTCACTATCTATTTAAGTATTTCATGACATATGCAATTAAGCTCCTTCATCGTTGCTGACTGACTTTAGAAATCCATGTGTTTAGCACTATCTGTGCTCTTGGTGCACTTTTGCACACTGTGCATTTCACGTTGGGTTGCACTGTGACAATGACTTACAACCAGATTCACTTAGCAGACTTGAGAACTGACATATTTGGTCTGT